TGCACCCAGCCTCTTCAGATGTCTTTGACTGGCTTTGGTGTCAGGGTAATATTGGCCTTATAACATAAGTTGAAAAGTGTTCCCTCTTCCTCCATTTTCTGAAAAAGTTTGTAAAGCATTGGTGTTTCTTATTTAAATATTTAATAGAATTCACCAACTAAACCGTCCAGGTCTGGGCTTTCTTTGTGGAAAGATTTTTAATTACTACCTCAATGAGTTTTCATTGTTGTTATGTGTCTATATAGATTTTCTGTGTCTTGTTTAGTCAGTTTTAATAATTTGTGCCTTTTTTTGAAATTTACCATTTTATTTAAGTTTTCTAAATTATTGGCACAAGGATGTTCATAGTAGTTCCTTATCATCTTAATTACTGTGAGATCCTTTACTGGTGTTCCCTTTTGGTAATCTGTGACTTCTCTCTCTTTTTTTGGTGGTCAGTCTAACTAAAGGTATATCAGTTTTGTGGTCTTTTCAAATAACCAACTTTTGCTTTCTCTGAATTTTCTCTATTTTAAAAAATATCATTGATACCTACTCTAATTTTTATTATTTCATTCCTTTGTTTTGCTTGGATTTAGTTTTCTCTTCTTTTTTTCCTTTTTAATGTGGAAACTTAGGTTATTAATTTGAGATCTTTGTTCATGTCTAATATAGGAGCCTAAGTCTATAAATTTCCCCCTGAAGCATTGCTTAAGCTGCATCCCATATCTTTTCATGTATTTTATTTTCATTTTTATTCCATTCTTTTTTTTTATTTCTTTGTGATTTCTTCTTTGACCAGTGGATTATTTGTTAAATTTTCAAATATTTGGGGATTTCTCAATTTTTGTTGAATTCTAGTTTAATTCTATTGTGATTGAAGCACATCCATTGTATGATTTTAATCCTTTTAAATTTATGAGATTTGTTTTATGTCTTACAATATGGTCTGTCCTGAAGGATGTTCTCTATGTGCTAGAAAAGAATGTGTATCCTGCTGTTGTTGGGTGGAGTATTCTGTAGATGGCAATTAGGTAAAGTTAGCTGATAGTGCCAATCAAGCCTTCTATATTCTTGCTGATTTTTTTTATCCAGTCATTTTATCTATTATTAAGAATGTAGTGTTGAAGTCTCCTTCCATTATTCTTGAATTTTCTATTTCTTTCTTCAATTTTGTTTAATGTATTTTGATGGTGTTAGGGACATATATATTTCTAATTGTTGCATCTTCCTGATATTGAGACCCTTCTTCTCATTATAAAATGCCTTTTATCATTATAAAATGCCTCATATTATCTCTAGTAATGTTTTTATCTTAAAATCTATTTTTTCTGGTATTAGTATAGTTATTTCTGCTCTCTTATGGTTACTGTTTATATAGTCTACCTTTTTAAATTTATTTATTTATTTATTTATTTTTCGAGACAGAGTCTTACTCTGTCACCCAGACTGGAGTACAGTAGCGCAATCTCAGCTCACTGCAAGTTCCGCCTCCCTGGTTCATGCCATTCTCCTGCCTCTGCCTTCCAAGTAGGTGGGACTACAGGTGCCTGCCACCACACCTGGCTAATTTTTTGTGTTTTTAGTAGAGACGGGGTTTCACCATGTTAGCCAGGATGGTCTTGATCTCCTGACCTCGTAGTCCACCCACTTTGGCCTCCCAAAGTGCTGGGATTACAGGCATGAGCCACCAGGCCGCAGCCCACAACATCTACCTTTTAAAAAAATTTTTTTCCTTCAATCTATTTGTGTTTCTGAATCTGAAATGTGTCTCTTATTAGGATCTATTTTTTATTCAGTCTGATAATTTCTGCTTTTAATTGGAGTATTTAATCCATTTCCATTATTTGAGACTGTTAATATAATTGATTTTACATGTGCCATCTTGCTGTTTTGCATTTATCTCGTGGCATTTTTGTTCCTCTATCTCACTTTTCATGCCTTTTTGTGTACAAGAAATATTGTCGAAGGCACTGTTTTCATTATTCTTTTCTTTTCTTTTCTTTTCTTTTCTTTTGTTTCACACAAGGCCTTGCTCTGTTGCCCAGGCTAGAATGCAGTGGTACGACTACAGCCCACTGTAGCCTCAATCTCTTGGGCTCAAGCGATTCTCCCACCTCAGCCTCCTGAGTAGCTGGGACTACAGGTGCCCACCACCACACCCAACTAATTTTTTAAATTTTTTGTAGACATGGGGTTTCACTGTGTTGCCTAGGATGGTCTTGAACACCTAGGCTCAAGCAATCCTCCTACCTCAGCCTAGGAAACTGCTGGGATTATAGGCATGAGCCACCACATCCACCTTGTTTTGTTATTTTCTTAGTAGTTTCTTATTACAATACATCTTAACTCATCACAATCTATTTTCAAGTAATACTAACTTAATTCTAGGTTTTTTTGCTTTTTTGTTTGTTTGTTTGTTTGAGACAGAGTCTCACTGTGTCACTCAGGCTGGAGTGTAATGGTGCGATCTTGGCTTACTGCAACCTCTGCCTCCCAGGTTCAAGTGATTCTCCTGCCTCAACCTCCTGAGTAGCTGGGATTACAGGCACCCACCACCACACATGGGTACTTTTTGTATTTTTAGTGGAGACAGGGTTTCACCATGTTGGCCAGGCTGGTCTCGAATTCCTGACCTCAGATGATCCACGTACCTTGGCCTCCCAAATTGTGAGGATTACAGCTGTGAATCACCATGCCTGGCTCTTAATTCTAGTTTAATACAGAAACTTGCTTCAGTACAGTTTCATTCCCCAGTCCTTTGTGCCATTATCATTCTAAATACTATATCTTTATGTTTTATAAGCCCAACAATACGGTTGTGTATTTTTGTTTTATGCAACTGTCTTTTAAATCAGTTAAGAGAAGAAAAGAGGAATGAATATTTTTTACAGTTATTCATATAATTACCTTTATTTATGTCTTTTATTTCTTTGGGTGATTTTGAGTTACCATCTGGTATCATTTTATTCCAATCTGAATGACTTCCTTTCTTATTTCTTATAAGGCATATTTGCTCACAACAAAATCTCTTCTCTCTATTTTTCTCAGAATGTTTAACTTTGCATGCAGTTTTTCAAGGATAGTTTGCTGCATATGGAATTCTTGGTTATCAGTTTTGTTTTGTTTTCTTTCAGCATTTTGAATATATCATCCTACCATCTTCTGGCCTCCATTTTTTTATGATAAAAACTCAGCTGTTAATCTCATTGTGTGCTCCTGTATGAGATTAGTCATTTCAGTTCAATATTTTTCTTTGACTCTTTTTTATAATATCCTTTTCTTTATGTATATTTCTATTTGATGAATCATTGACATTATACTTTCCTTTAGCTCTTTATTATTTTTAGTTTTGTTTTTTGTTTTCTGTTTTTTTGAGATAGTGTCTCATTCTGTCACCTAGGCTGGAGTGCAATGGTGCAATCTTGGCTCACTGCAACCTCTGCCTCCCAGATTCAAGCAATTCTCCTGCCTCAGCTTCCCAAGCCAAATAGCTGGAACTAATTTGCATATTTTTAGTAGAGATGGTGTTTCACTCTGTTGGCCAGGGTGGTCTTAAAATCCTGACCTCAAGTGATCCATCTGCCTCGGCCTCCCAAACTGCTGGGATTTCAGGCATGAGCCACTGTGCCCAGACTCTCTTAAGTTCTTGAACATATTTATAGTAAGTCTTTGTCTGCCAAGTCTAATATTTAGGCCCCCTAAGAGGCCGTTTCTATGTTTTTTGCTGGTAGGGGCCAAACTTTTCCATTTTTTTCATGTATAATAGGTTTTTTGTTGAAAACTACACATTTTAGATAATATACTGGACCAACTCTGAATTCTGTATCTCCATACCACAGGTTCTGGGCTAACTCTATAGAGTCTGTCTCCCTTGAGTCATATAGCTACTGATATCTCTTAAGTTGTCTTATTTCTTAATCATTTTTTAATTGTTAAGACAAGTCTCCTGGAGGTTGCACTTGAGACAACATAGCTTAATGGTGAGCTGAGGATTGATCAGAGGTTTTGCTTAATTCCCTTGAGCCAGTAAGCCTTCCACCTTTTGCCAGTGGATCTCTGTGTTGGTTGGGAAACACATTAAAAATTTAGGCCTGTTACAAATCTAACTGGGATTTTACTTTCAGTCATGCCTTCTTATGTTTCCTTTATAAGTGTCCTAGGTTTCACACTTATCTGGAAATGTATGGATAGCTAGGTATCCTCCTACTATCACACTACTATCCTGTAGTCCCTCCTAAGCATGTTTAGCCTTGTAGATTACAGGGGGTATGTGTGAGATTGTCAGGGTTCACTGTGGCTGCCTTATTCCCCAAATTTTCCTATTATATTTCTTGCAAGACTACGGGTTTATTTCTTGTACCTGCCAGTATCATAGTCTCAAGGCAGCTGAGATGCTGGCCTTTCCTGGGGTATGCACACCATTCCAAATCAAATTAGCCTCCTCCAGGTGTGGAGCTGCTGGTTTTGGGGAATTTTTCTCCCCTTTTAGAACTACCCAGGTAATGGAAGCTGGAAGAGGAGGCTTTGCTCAAAATTACTTCAATTAGCTACTTTGTTATTACTGAATATGAATTTTTTTCTGACTTTTTGGCAGTGAACATCTTTATGAAGATTTCACTTCTTACCGTGTGTATTAGTTTTCTAGGCTTGCCATAACAAATTATCACAAGCTTCGTGGCTTAAAACAACAAAAATTGCTTCTCTGATAGTTTAGGAGGCCAGAAGTCTGAAATCAGAGCATCAGCAGGATTGGTTTCTTGTGGGGGTTTTGAGAGAGAATCTATTCCATGCCTCTTTCCTAGCTTCTGGTGGCTGCCAGCAATGCTTAGCCTAGCAACATCTCTCCAATCTTTGTCACGTGGCATTCTTCTCTCCGTGTCTGTGTATCTGAACTTCCTTCTCCTATCTCTTATAAAGACAGAAGTCATTGGATTTAGGACCCACTGTAATCTAGTATGACCTTATCATAACTAGTTACATTTCAAAGATCCTGTTTCCAAATGAGCTCACATTCTGAGATTCTGGTAGACATAAATTTTGGGGGACACTATTCAATCCAATATACCATTCATTATGAAGTAGCACCTGAAAATATGTATGGTCTCTGGTGTTGATTAGGTTATCCTTTTGTGAAAATTAGTTTGGAAATGAACAGAACAGCAAGCTAACTTGACTTTTTTTTGTTTGGGTGGTTCTTTAAGTTAAAATAATTCACACCCACTTTTTTATTTTTGTTTTGTTTTGTTTTTTTCATACTACTAAGAAAAAGGCAGAGAGATCTGTGGACAGGAAAGTGTTGGCAGAGCCTTATCCTTCTCAATTCTGACTTGCATGTCTGCTTTTAATCTAGAGCCAAATAACTATCGGATCATGCATGGCCGGGCAGTAAATGGCAGCCAGTTGGGAAAGGATTACATCCAGCTGAAGAGCCTGTTGCAGCCCATCCGGATTTATTCCAGAGCCAGCTTATATGGCCCTAATATTGGGCGGCCGAGGAAGAATGTCATCGCCCTCCTAGATGGGTAGGTCAGATTATTTAGCTTTTCTTATGACATTGTTCATTTAATGAATTAATGTATTTGCATTTCTCCTGATTATTTATTTATTTATTTATTTTGGTCTTAAGAAAAAAGGAGGGACTCTTTCCATAGTGGCTTCACCCACTCTAAGTCAGAGATTCTCCATCTTTCTCATCATTCTAGGCCTTCCGTAGTCAACAGGGGAACATGGGATGGGGAAGGTATATCACAATCTCTAGAATGGGTTGGAAAGGAAACATTGTTTGAAAAAACACAATTAATATGATGCATTTTATAGCATCATTTTATATTTTTTAAGACACAAAAATTACTCTATACCAAGGTCCTCTTGTAGAAAGTGAAGCTTTACAAAATCTTGGCCAGCAAACTGGGTTAAAAAGTTGAAAAACACTACAAATACTGAGAGATTAAAGCTCTTGATAGGCCTATTAGCAGATATTCTTGAGAATTGCTACCACTTTTCTTATTTAGTTTTGACTAAATCTGACAATCTTTTTTTAAATCACCTAAGGCAAGGAAAGATACTGATCAGGATTTTCTCTTATGTGTCAGAAAAAAAATAGAGATTTATCTCTGTTAATGTATATGTACTAAATATACAGTGAAATATAACTAGAAACACATAAACATCCCCAGCAACTTGAACTAACAATAACAAAAATGTCAGCACTCTAAATTACCAGCTCTGTATTCCTTTCTAATCCTCCTGGTTATACAGATATAATTTTACATAGTTGTGATCATTGTATATGCATCATTTTGAGTGCTGCATTTTTTACTCATTGCTTCACATGACCCTTTCCTTGTTTCTACATAGTTCTCATATTGTCATTCTTAATAGCAATAAAATATTCCATTGCATTAATGCACCAAAGTCTGCCTAAGCATTCCATCACCGTTGGGCATTGGACTGTTTCCAAATTTTGCTTGTAATATATAGCACAGCTATAAACATTTTTATACAAATCGGTTATTTATTTCTTTTGAATTACATCCTTGGGCTATATTCCAAAAAGTAGGGTTTCTTGGTCAAAGTATGTGATAATTCTTATGGCTTTTATATTTGTTGCCAAGTTTTTTTCAGAACAATTTCATCAGGTTGCAGGACAGCAATGTATTAGTATATCTTTTTCTCCAATATCCTATAGCAATGAATGTGGTCAATTTTATTATTTTACTCTATTTTAATTAATGCAGGATCATGTTGCATGGTTGTTTAAACTTCAATTCTGTTAATTATGAAAAGAACTCAGAATTTTCAAATCCTTATGTTGTCTTGTTTCCTCTTATCCCAAATTTGATTAGTAACCATTGTAGTAACCATTAGTAACTTAACCAAATTTGACAATAACCATTTTGTCTGAGACCCAGACATGGAAGCCGTTTTAGATCAGTTTTCTCCTTCGTTCACACATTCAATTAGTTATTAAGTACTGTAATTTTCTTAGTATCCTTCATATCCCATTTTCTTTTCATTTTTATTTTAAACCTTATTGTTTTTAATCCTAAATGATTTATTGGTATCTTAGCTAGCCTCAAACTCTAATAATTTTTCCATATAGATTCCTGAGTAGTTTTTTTGTTGTTGTTGTTGTTGCTTTTTAAACACAGAGTCTCGCTCTGTCAGCCAGGCTGGAGTGGAGTGGCGTGATCTCAGCTCACTGCAACCTCCGTCTCCTGGGCTAAAGCAATTCTCCTGCCTCAGCCTCCTGAGTAGCTGGTATTACAAGCATGTGCCACCACGCCCAGATAATTTTTGTATTTTTAGTAGAGAGAGGGTTTCACCATGTTGGTCAGGCTGGTGTTGAACTCCTGACCTCAGATAATCCACCCATCTCGGCCTCCCAAAGTGCTGGGATTACAGAGTATTTTTTTTTTTTTAAATGCAACATCCGGTCAAGTCACTTTTGCTTGAAATCCAAACCCTTTCAGATGCACTCGTGGCCTTTAGTATCTGCGCCTGCCTAAATTTGCAGCTAATAAGCAGTGATGCCCCCTTGCCCTCTAATTACATCAAAGTACAGAAAATTTTTAATGTACATTCTGGAAGATGCCATACTCTTTTATACCTTTACATCTTTTTATTTTGTGTCATTTTGTTAAGAATACCAGTCTCTCCTCTTGTTTTTCTCCTTTCTCTAGATCTTCTCTGACATGTTCAGGCAGAATTTCTTAGGGCCTCCTCTGTCCTTGCATGGCACTGTATTTTTCTGCTATCGCACTTATCAAATTGATGATAATATTTGTTTATATATCTGCCAGCCATGATAAACCACAGAGTAGGATCAGGAACCCATTTGTTTTATTCATATCCTCAAAATATTCCTAGGTTCTGTATCCTCAGAACCTAGGAATATAGTAAGTGCCTTATAAATGCTTGTTGAATGAGTAGTATCTGTCTTATTCAACAACTGATTTTAAGGTCATCCAACAAAAAAACAGTATGCATAATTGTAATTATGAAGCATTGAAAAGCATAATATAAATAATCATTTAAATGGATTATGTTGATTTTATAAATCATGATAACTTTGGTTTTTTGAAACTATACCAATGTCTTAAGTTTTTTAAAATTTTTATTGATACATACAAATCGTACATATTTGTTGTACATATTTATGACAATTTTTAAATTATTTCTTTATGTTGGGAACATTCCAAATCTCTTCTAGCTACTTGGAATATACAATAAGCTACTGTTAACTATTGCCACACTACTGTGCTATTGAACACTAGAGCTTATTCCTTCTAACTGTGTTTTTGTACCCATTAACCAACCTCTCTTCATCCTCCCTCTCTCATTCCCTTCCTAGCCTGTGGTTACCACCAATTCTCTACCTCCATGAGGTCCAGTTTTTCATTTGCTCCTACATGTGTGTGAGAACATACAATACTTGTCTTTTGTGCCTGGCTTATTTCACTTAATGTAATGTCTTCCAGTTCCATCCATGTTGCTGAAAATGACAGAATTTCACTCTTTTTAATGGTTGAATAGTATTCCATGTGTATATATACTACATTTTCTTTATCCATTCATCCCTTGATGAATACAGGTTGATTCCATATCTTGATTATTGTGAATATTGCTGCAATAAACATTGAAGTGTGCATAATCTTTTTGATATACTGACTTCCTTTATTTTGGTTATATACCCATAGGTGGGATTGCTGGGTAAGCTTTTTTACTGAGGTAGTTGCAGAACTAAAAAGGACTGTCTTTCCAGTTAGGATATGAACTCTATGAAGACAGAGATAGAATCTTCATGTTCATATTTAATATCTTCAGGGATTAGCCTGTGGTCTGGAAAATGGGAATTACTTAACAAAATGCTTATTTTATTGTTTTCATTTCCTCATTTGGGAAATGGCTATTCTTAATCATCAGTTTTTATCTAAAGACATGAGAATTACTATTTAGAGTTATATCAGTTTCTTGTTTTTCTTTTGTAAACTTTTATGCATCATCTGTGTAATGACAATTTTATCTTAATCTAGTGCTTTTTGTGTGTGTGTCCTAAAAGATGTTTTTATTGTTTTAGAAGTTTCTTTTCATTATCATTTTTCTTGTCTCATATTGTTCAACAAGCTCTACCTGCAAAATAGAAATCCTACTCAAAAGGAGATTTATCTAAAAAAATTATATAGCCAATAACAGAGAAAAACCTATACCTCTACCTTGACAAATCTACTTAGTCCCTAATTTTTAAAAGTGAATACAGGCAAATCTCATATTTATTGTGCTTTACATATATTGAATTTTTTATAAATTGAAGGTTCGTGGTACCACACTTCATGTCTCTGTGTCACATTTTGGTAATTCTTGGAACATTTCAAGCTTTTTCATTATTATTATATCTATTATGGTGATCTGTAATCAGTGATCTTTGATGCTGCTATTGTAATTATTTTGGGGCACCATGAACTATAAGATGGCAAAATTAATCAATAAATGTGTGTTCTGTCTGTTCCATCCACCAGCCATTTTCCCATCTCTCTCCCTGTTCTCAGGCTTTTCTATTCCCTGAGACGCAACAATATTAAAATTACACCAATAAATAACACTACAATGGCCTCTGAGTGCTCAAGTGAAAGACTTGCATGTCTCTTACTTTAAGGCAGAAGCTCAACATGATTAAGCTTAATGAGGAAGGCATGTTGAAAGCCATGATAGGCTGAATGCTAGGCTTCTTGTCCCAAACAGTTAGCCAACTTGTGAATGTAAAGGGAAAGTTGTTGAAGGAAATTAAAAGTGCTACTTTGGTGAACACAAGAATGATAAGAAAGTGAAACAGCCTTATTGCTGCTATGGAGAAGGTTGTAACAATCTAGATAGAAGATCAAACCAGCCACATTTCCCTAAGTGAAAGCCTAATCCAGGACAAGACCCTAACTCTTTTCAATTCTATAAAGGCTGAGAGAGGTAAGGAAGTCACAGAAGGAAAGTTGGAAGCTAGCAGAGGTTGGTTTAAGGAAATAAACTATCTCCATAACATGAAAAATGCAAGGGGAAGCAGCTCTCCAGAAGATACAACTAAGATAATTAATGAAAGTGACTACACTAAACAACAGATTTTCAATATAGATGAGACATCCTTCTCTTGGAAATCTGAAACTCTGAAAATCTTAGGGTCCCTATGAATTATGTTAAATCTACTCCACCTGTGCTCTATAAATGGAACAATACAACCTGGGTGACAGCATATCTGTTTATAGCATGGTTTACTAAATAGTTTACACCCACTACTGAGACCTACTGCTCAGGAAAAAAAAAAATTGCTTTCAATATATTACTGCTCATTGCCAATGTGCCTGCTCACCTAAGAGCTCTGATGGAAATGTACAGATAAATTAATTTTTTAAGCCTGCTAACTCACCGTCCATTCTGCAGCCTAGAGATCAAGAAGTACTGTTGACTTTCAAGTCTTATTATTTAAGAAATACATTATTTGAGAAGTACATTTTATAAGGCCATAGCTACCATA